TGGTGGTGACCCTGAATAACTCGACTCCAGATGGAAAATTGAAGATGGATGTCGTGACTGACAGCCTCCTGGGCGAAGAATCCAGGAGAAGAGAACGAGGTACTTCGACTACGTCTGAGGCCAACGTTGCTGAGAACAAAGGGAAATTGACTCCCGGGGTAGAAGCAAAAGTCGGGGTAGAGGTCGTGACAGACGAGACAAGTCCAGAGGTCGGTCAAAGCCGAAATATGAGTTGAAGTGCTTTTACTGTGGAAAGACAGGCCATAAGAAGCCAGACTGCTGGACCCTACAGAATGATGAGAAGAACGACTCTGTGAAGCCGGATCAGATTATTCCCAAGAAGAGGGAAGGCAAGAGCACCACTGCGGTGGCTGCCAACCCGGATGCCGAGATATTCCTCCTTGGTGAGGATAATTATTTGAATGTTGCATATGATGACTGCACCTGGATTGTTGACTCCGGTGCCTCCTTCCACGTTACTCCACACAAAGGTCTTTTCTCCTCTTATCGAGGTGGTGACTTTGGAGTCGTGAAGATGGGAAATCAATTGACCAGCAAGATTGTTGGTGTCGGTGATGTAACCCTGACCACAGATGTCGGATGCCGACTTGTGTTGAAAGATGTAAGGCATGTTCCTGACATGCGTTTGAACCTAACCTAATCTTGGTAGGCAAGCTTGACGATGCCGGGTTAGTGAACTACTTCGGTAGTGTCAGATGGAAGCTGGCCAAGGGAAACTTGGTCGTGGCCCGAGGTAAGAAAGAAGGCTCCTTGTACGTGATGCAAGGAAAGATCAATGGCGGAGAAGCCAATTCTATTCGAGATGAACCTAGCTTGGAGCTATGGCACAAGCACCTCAGCCACATGAGCGAGAAAAGGGCTCCAGATCCTGAACAAGAAAGGATTACTGACTAGGTTGAAAGGCCAAGCGTTGGAGAGTTGCACGCACTGCCTAGCTGGAAAGCAGCACCGGGTTTTTTTTGTGAGACCGAATCAACCTAGACGACGCAGGTATATTCTTGACCTCGTCCATACTGATGTCTGCTCTATGTCGGAAAGATCCCTTGGAGGAGCTCAGTACTTTGTTTCATTTATTGATGACCATTCCTGCAAAGTGTGGGTATATTTGTTGAAGTCTAAAGACCAGGTACTCCAATCATTTAAAGAATTCCATGCTATGGTTGAAAGGGAGACTGGCAAGAAATTGAAGGTGGTCCGATCTGATAATGGTGGTGAGTATTGCGGCCCTTTTGTTGCATACTGCAGAGCGGCCGGGATTCGACTTGAGAAGACGCCCCCCAAGACTCCACAGTTAAATGGAATGGCTGAGAGGATGAACAGAAGAATTGAAGAGAAGGTACGAAGCATGATATCCAATGCCGGGTTACCAAAATCATTCTGGGGAGAAGCCGTCAAAACTGCTGTTGACTTGATCAACCTCTCACCATCACAGCCACTTGAAGGAGAAATTGCAAAAGAAGTCTGGACAGGTCGGAAAGCGGCCTACAATCAACTGAAAGTGTTTGGATGTCGAGCTTTCGTGCATATCCCTAAAGATGAAAGGGCCAAACTTGATACAAAGACTAAAGAATGCATTTATCTTGGTTCGCCGAGATGTGAGTTCGGGTTCCGACTTTGGGATCCAATCAATAAGAAGATCGCGAGAAGCCGAGATGTGATCTTTCATAAGCATGAGAACATTCATGACATCTCGAAGCCCAAAGTCCGGGTTACTGTCAGACGAGAAGAACCCATCCCTCCTGTCCGAGCTGAAGCAGGGGGAGAAAATCAAGAGAATGAAGAAAATGATGATCAGCAACAAGCTGAAGATGACCAAGACACTGAGGTCCGAGTTGATGATGAGATCCGGGATGAAAATGATGAACTGGGTCCTCAAGCTGAAGAACAGCCGAGATATCCAACTCGAGAAAGAAGACCCTCTACAAGGTACCCATCCGATGAATACACCGTTGTTGCTGAAGACGGTGAGCCTCAGAGTTATGATGAGGCTGTGATGAGCTCAGAGAAAGAAGAATGGGAAAAGGCAATGTAAGACGAGATGAAGTCTCTGCACGAGAATCAGACTTATGAGCTGACCGAGTTGGCAAAAGGAAGACGAGCTTTGAAAAATAAATGGGTCTACAAGATTAAGAAATGAAGAGAACGGGCAAAAGCCGAGATACAAAGCCCGGATTGTAGTGAAAGGCTGCAATCAGAAGAAAGGAGTTGATTTTGAGGAGATTTTTTCTCCTGTGGTGAAAATGACCTCGGTCCGAACTGTGTTAGCCATGGCGGCTTCGATGGATCTCGAGGTAGAACAAATGGACGTGAAGACGACATTTCTTCACGGTGACTTAGAAGAAGAAATATATATGGAGCAACCTGAAGGATTCCAAGCTCCAGACCAAGAAGACTTGGTATGTCGGTTGAAGAAGAGCCTCTATGGCTTGAAGCAAGCACCTCGGCAGTGGTACAAGAAGTTTGAATCATTCATGACTGATCATAAGTTTGAGAAGACTGAAGCCAACCACTGCGTATTTGTGAAGAGGTATGAGGCCGGAGATTTTTGATTTTGTTGTTATATGTTGACGACATGCTTATTGTAGGGAAAGACAAATCGAGGATAGCCGCCCTGAAAAAGGCGTTGAGCTCGTCCTTCGCAATGAAGGACCTCGGCCCTGCAAAGCAGATTCTCGGAATAAAGATTATCCGAGATAGACAGAAGAAGCTACTGTGGCTGAGTCAAGAGAAATATATTGAGAAGATTTTGAAGAGATTCAGCATGGACAAAGCCAAAACAGTGAGCACCCCCCTAGCCGGACACATAAAGCTAAACCAGAAGCAATGTCCAAGATCTGATGAAGACAAAGATGAAATGATGAAGGTCCCTTACCAATCCGCCGTCGGAAGCTTGATGTATGCAATGGTTTGCACTAGACTTGACTTGGCGTATGCTGTTGGAATGGTAAGCTGGTATTTGTCAAACCCCGGCAAAGAGCACTGGAAAGCAGTGAAGTGGATCTTCAAGTACCTCCGAGGTACGACCGACTTATGTCTCCGATTTGGAGAAGGCAAAGCCGAGTTGCAAGGCTACTCGGATTCTGATTTAGGGGGAGACGCCGACTCGAGGAAGTCGACTACAGGATATTTGATGAGATTTGCCAGAGGAGCTATCTCTTGGCAATCAAGACTTCAGAAATGTGTTGCACTATCGACAACTGAGGCTGAGTACATTGCCGCTACTGAGGCAAGCAAAGAGATGCTGTGGATGAAGAAGTTCCTCATGGAACTCGGCCATGATCAAGACAAGTACGAGCTGGGTTGTGACAATCAAAGCGCAATCCATCTTGCGAAGAATTCAACCTATCACTCCCGCACTAAGCATATTGATGTGAGGTATCATTGGATCCGGGATGTGGTGGAAGGTGGTGAGCTCGAACTCGTCAAGGTGCACACTGACCAAAATTGGTCCGACATGATGACAAAGCTGGTTCCAGCAAGAAAATTTGAAGACTGCTGTGAAGGAGCCGGGTTGATGTTGAAGCCGACGCATTGAAGTCGGAGAGGGAGATTTGTTGGGCTTCCTCCTTCAATGCTAAGCCCAAGCCCATTTGAGGGGTTTCCTAAAAACCCTAACCCTAATTTCCACCTCCTCTATATATACTCATTAGTTGTGGGTGGAGGCTAGGTTAGATTTGAGAAAACAAATTTGAGAGAAAAATTATTTGATTGTTTGAGTAAAGCTTTATGCTTTGCATTTGAGAGATCTCTAGAGAGAGTTTGAGTGAAACATCTCTAGGGTAGTTTGATTATCACCATTGTTGGAGAGGTTGAGTTAACCACCACATTGGTGTATTTGATTCGTTGTAACCATTATTTTCATAGTGAATTTTTTATCTGGACTAGGTCCTGTGGGTTTTTACTTCTTCATTCAAGAAGGTTTTCCCACGTTAAATCTGGTTGTGTTCTTCTTCTCTCTCTTTTGTTTTCGTTTTGATTTTTCCGCTGCGCTGCCTGACCTGGTGAAGTTCAGGCCGAGGTATTGCCGAGATCCGAGATCAGGATCTTGTTGATTGACTTCCGCACAAAAGACCCCTGAGCTGAGCTTGAGGGAATCGAGTTTTCCCAACAAAGAGGACCCGCAACTTTTACAAATTAGTATCAGTGGGGGGAAAGATAATTAGGGGAATGAGGGGAAACTTTGGTACAATCATATACTGAGCTCGGTACACGAATAAAACTTTGGTTTTTTTTTTTTTTTTTCTTTCTATGTTCTTCTTTATCTGCTTTCATACTGTTCCATTTGGTAAATGGATGTACCAAATTCAGTACACCTGTAGTATTAAAAATGTTTTCGAGAATGAGGATTCATGAGTACCGAAAGTGCTCACTTTAAGAAAATTAAGTATACAAACCAAAATAAAAATTCAAGATTGATTAAAACCAAATTTTGGTATATTTACGTGCATGTTATGAGACAAGTAATATACGTATTTTTTTATTTCTCAACTAATTTATTAATTATTATTATTTGTAGTCTCAATAGGAAAAACTTTGTCATCTGTGACCTGTCTGAATCGAGTTCGGTCAATCGAGTAATTAATAATAAAGAAATCTAAAAGAATAAAATATAATTGATAAAGTTTTTATTTCTAATAAATTAAAGATACGAATCAAAACTCAAATTTTAGAAATATTAAAATCACAAGTTATATATATATATATATATATATATATATATGTATATATATGTATATATATATATATATATATATATAAGTGTTTCTATAATTGTAGTTGTCATTGCTTAGTGCTTAAATGATTAAAAAAATTGATCACTAAACACAAAAATAAAATAAAATAAACTTCTAACATCACAAAGCACAATCTTGTTTTGCAATATAAAATCTTAAAATTACACAACTTAGTAAGCAATAAACTTAAATATTTAATATTAAATAAATCCAAACATTCAATTAAGTACATAAGTAGCTGAAGGTATTCTATTTAGCGAGTACCCACCATATTTCTACTTATTTATCAAACTGAGATAAATTTCTCCAATTCCTGTCTTCATAAATAGAAACTAGAAAGCATAAAGCTCCCACATCCGTCTTGTCACTTAAATATCTTCATAGATACTAACTAGAGTCTTTGCCATCCTTTATTTGATAAATTTAGTATATGTATCATTTCATTTCTTTTCATTTTTTTCTTAGTTATTATTATTTTATTTTATTTTTGGAAATTCTTAGTTATTATTTTTAGATTAACTAATTAAACGTATTATCAGTCATCTAATGTGACATTCCTTATGCAGTTCTCCTCTATCAGAACAGTAGTCATAAAGCAAATGTTTCTTCCTCAGATCTTCATATGCCCTTTGTTGTTGTGGGTTTAGCTGCCAATGTTTCTTGTCATTCCACCATAAATGGGGAGAATAGCACGTGTATTTGTTTGGTTTTTGGGATTTGCAGCCGTTAATGTTGAAACCTTGAAATTGAGCCATGAAGGGTGCTCGCTTCCAGTCAATTCTCTTCCCATTAGATGCCCAAGGTTCCCCATTCCATATGCTAACCGTAATGTGCATTGGTTGTGAAGGAAAACTCACTCCAACGTTTGACTTATTCTTGAACACTCTTATTGGTATTTGATCCACATAAAACCTGAAAATGTTATAGTACCCCCCATAAAAAAAATATTAGTAAAAGAATTAATTATTCCAATTCTCGAATATTAAGATTTGGGTTTTTATTCTCTTGCACCTTGGTCATGTTAATTTTTTTTTTTTTTTTTTTTGGTGCCATCAAGGTTCCAATTTATGATGTCAAGAAAACTATTCAAATCTCTCATTACTAAATCAATACTAGTGATTTATATTAAATTATTTCTAATATATATAGAAAATAATTCCATATAACAAATAAAAAAGGAAAACATGGTCAATTTTTTTTCCTATCTAAACCAACATCTGCTTGTGAATGTTATATATTTATAACTACATAGTTTTGCTTGATTTATTTAATAGTATAGAAATAAGATAAGAGTTTTTATGAAACATCTAAACTAAATCAAACAAATAGAAAAGCTACTATTTTTCCTAAGTAGCTGGTGCCCATTTGGATGAGCTTTTTTCCCTCCAAAAGCTGCTCTTTTTCTTGAAAAAAAGCACTTCTCAGTTTTAGTTCATTTGGATATCTGCTTTTAAAAAAAGCAGAAGTCACAAAAAAGTCAAAAACATACTTTTTTTAGAAGCTAAAAATTTTAACTTCTAAAAAAAGCAGAAGTCAAAAGCCAAATATTTTTTTCAAAAATTAAATATTTTTATAAAAATATAAATAGCTTTAACTTTTGTAAAAAAGACTTTTAAAATAAAGAAGAGATAAAAATTACTTTTTTTAGAAGGAGAAACAAACGGGCTCTTTGGGCTAGTTCATATAACTATGCTATTGAGATATTTAATTAGCAGGGGGAAGACTAAACCCTAATTCTTTTTTAAAGTCCCAAGAGAGAATCAGAATCGGTGTATTACACTATTTGATGTTGGTTCCAAAGGATTCCATAGGTATGAAAATCGATTGTTGGATCAAACCAGAGACTAATCCTTTGTTCTCTTCCGCCTTCATCATTTGCATAAATATTTGTTTGCAACATATAAGTCTCTCCATTGTTGCACAAGAATTCGAAGTCAATCTCATCATGGTTTCCTCCCATATGTTCATAGGCCTTTGAAGTCAGCTACAATTAGCCAAAAAGAGACAGGTACTTAGTTAGGTGATGAAAGGGCGAGTAAGATAGTAGCCTCTAGAACGCAAACATAAAAAGGGTAAAATTCACACATAAAAAGCTGTAACAATTCCTCTGGAGTCCTTGTTGGGTGGTTTTATTCTCATTTGAAAGAACCCAGAAGCATAGTCCCATTTCGATCTGAAGCCAGCCCCTACATATTAAAGAAATTTGAAAATTAAACTATAATATAAAGTCACTCTATTTCGGTTGTATAAGCTATTATATACATGTTAGTATTTCATAAACCCTAATATTATTTATGGATTTATGCAATCAATCTCACTTAATACGATACTTTTTTGTTCTTTAATATAAAAAAACTCACTTGTTCTCAGCATAAGAGGGGTTTATATATCTATAATTATGAAAATAATTTATACCAGTGTAAAAATTATAAGAACTATAACATCTATTATTAACCATTGATTCTGTTTCAAAAAAAAAAAACCATTGATTCTCTTTGCCTATGATTGTTCTAATTTATTATAGATAAGATTTTACATAAAAGTTCTTATTCTTATGTTACTAATGTGTGAGATCTCTAGAGAAGGGGGAGAGGCTCTTTGATTGGAATCTGAGTACCATGGAGGGTGATGGTGAATCTACCAGAACACGATAAAACTAAGGTTTTGAGTTATAGTTTTGATTGATCTCCAAAATAGAATTGAAATGGTAAAGATCGTTTGGTCACGAATTCTTAAATATAAAATTAAGAATCAAATTGAAGAGTATGAGCTAATTACTTGGTGACTATTGCAAAAGGAAACAAGGATTTTTCCAAGAAAATTGTGTAATGTTATGGAAAATGAGTTTGTGTTTAGAGAGAGAGAGAGAGAGGGAGAGAGAGAGAGAGTGTTTTAAACTAAGTTGAATGCTTTTGATCCGCAAGTCAGCTCTAACCTAACCCAATAAGTGAAAGGGCCTTGGGGTTAGGGCTAAGATGACCCTACCATATGAGAGCACTTTCAGTACAACAGGGATATTGACCATTGGGTATGATAGAAGATTTTAGATTATGTACTCCGGGAGTATATGGTATAAAGTACTAAAGTTTTTTTCTCTCTCAGGAAAATATCAGTTGATGTGGCGCACTCTCATTGGTCCGTTGTACTTACGCTCTAAATTTTTTTCCCTACCATGCATAGGGCAAAAAAAAAATAAAAAAAATAGGGCTTTGGGTTGGCAGGTCCTAATTAGTACAAGTTGGTCCTTCATATAATTATGCATATTATTAGAAACGATTAATAAGAAAAGCCTATTTAATTTTAAGTATGAGCATAAGGCATGCATATACAATATACTTCAATATTAGAGCTCTCATTAAAAGATCTATTCAATGAGATCATAAAGTCCTACACGTTCAAACCTGAAATCTTATCAATTGAGAGTTGAATTTCTCTGCCATGGTCTAGAAAGAAGGCGTGATAATTTCCCCATGTAACCTTGTAGTTCCGTTGGAAGCTAAATTCAACAGCCCTGCCACCACATATTACAGCAAATGCCACAAAGAGAGGGACAAAGCAGAAGCTGCAGAAACATTTGTTTGAATTATAAATTGCAATGAAAGCAAATAGAATTTAAAGACAAAAAGGCCTTCGTACTATGATATAGCTAAGATATATATTTAGATATATTCATACGCACTTTCCTTGCTTGTGCGGTTGAGCCATTATGTGAAATGAAGTACACTGCAAATAGTGTGATTATGGGTTATATATTGTATCACAGGACAATGAATCTCAACTGCATTTCAATGTCAGAGAAATTTTTTGGATAAGATAGAAGTAAAAGTGCAAATTAACAGATACTTTCATTAAAGCAGCACACAAGTTTTGTCTCATAAGCATGTGAAAGTCCTGTTAGTTTTTTCAAGTTGTCAATTTTCACGTTACTCTTGTGCCTTATGATAGGTCCTTCCTGGTTTGTCGTTACTACGTAATCTAGAGGCGGCTCCCGAGTGTGTACATACATTCATGTAAGTAGATATATTCTATCAATTTCTATATTCATATTTCCACTTTATGTTTTCATATATTAATAATGGGTTTTATTAATAATGTTGAGAAAAGTGATTGTGTCATGTTACTGAAATTCGTTTTCCGTGCCTTAGTTTTTTTTTTTTTTTTTTTTGCTTCAAAAAATGCAAGCCCCACAAAATGTTGTGTGTGTAGGAAACTTTACCATATCATGTTAAAGGACAAACGAAAACTCCATTAATAATAGGGAAATATATTTCTCCTACCTCTAAAATTACGTTGTTTTAGGGATTCAGAGAATTAATGAAAGATATTTTAATTTTTTTTTTGGTTCTATGTTATATTAATTTTATCAAAATATCCTTTATTAATTCTCTTAATCCTAAAAAATATGTAATTTTGGAATTGATGAAGATAAATTTATCTCCCCTAACAAAAAAAACGATAAACCCACTAATATTATCGGACTTTGGTATGTGCTTTTCCTTTAGCTATTTGAGTTTCTATTAAAATAGTTATTATAACTTATTTCTAGTAGAAATTAAGCTTGAGATGCTTTTAGATTTACAAGTTAGTTAACAACCCAAAATTTTTATATGAACAAAATTAGCCTAGACCAGTTAAAGTTTCAATTGTGAAACCTTACATGCTCTCAAGCATGAGCAGCAAATATCCAAAACACGGTGAATAATAGGTTTGATACATCAAAAAGGAGAAAATCATAATAATTCAAGAATTTATCAAAACTATATAAAAGCAAACGCAAACTTTGTCAACATGTGACTTCCGTCGTACTTGTTCTAGCTTTGGTCTTTCTTAAAGGACTAGTTTGATTATCATGAGTATACATATCACTTTATCACTTTCTGTCTCTTTTAAGTTTGAAGCTTTCGAAACTGGCCCAGATACTAACAGCCCCGAAATAATGAAAATTATTCAAAACAAAACAAAGGGAATATATATATATAATAAGGGAGATGATTTTCTTCTGTCATTGAAGAAAAATCATCTCCTGTCACCTCACAATAGTTTTTTTTTTTTCTTTAACTTTTTTTTATGTTTTCGAAAAAATGGTGGGACCCACCAGAACATTGTTTCTATGGCATGAGACAAAAAATTGCCTGTAACATAAGAAAAGATTTAGCCATATAATAAATGCAATAAAAATATTGCTTATTTTCATGAATCAGTCCATTTCCACTTCGGTTTGTATGCTTGCCCAATTAGCATGGAGTCTATGTTCGACAAGCTCCAAAAGCTGTCCATTTGTGAAAAAAGTTTACATGATTTTTACCCAAAATCAAATCCCAGCAAAGGCTAAGCAAAATCTTTGTTGGGTCATTGTCCCATGATGGATCCGACCCAAATTAATAGGTGCCCTAATTTCTTGTTTAAAAGAGATGTTTAGATGTTGAGTCGTCAGAGAGCGAAAGAGAAGAAGAAAAAGAGAGAGAAACGCATAGAAGAAAAGCGCAAGTCAAAGACGAAGATTCTCTGAGGAAGAAACTCAGGGTCATCGCTGAAGTAGAAGAATACCCTATAGAGTAGGATTCCCAATCTCCTTTACAAAGAGAAACACTTCTGTGAGACACTTATGAGTAGATCCATTCTTTAGAGGGTGAAGTCCTCTGGTTATTGAGGTAGAGAGAATCTTTATGTAAATCCCATTATTCATAATAGACAATTTTCTAGACTTGGTCCCGTGGTTTTTGCTCTTCACATCGAAGATGTTTTCCACGTTAAAATTGCTCGGTGTTCTCTTCCTCCCTATCTCTATTTTTTGATTTGTTGTTATTGTTCACTGTCGCTTCCGTAGGCTGACCTAATAAAGGCCGGGCTAATTGAATCTGAGACTGTGCTCAGAATTGCCAGGCTCCGAGACACAATAGTGGTATAAGAGCTCTTAGATCAAGGGCTCTATGAGGTCAAAGATGGAGGGTGTCGTAGCGCATGATGGTGACATGTTCAAGCTCACCGCGGAGAACTACTCATATTGAAAACCCGAGATGGAGGGTCATCTTTATTGCAAGGATTTATATGAGCTAATTCTGAGCACTATCAAACCATAAGGGAAGAGCGATAAAAAGTGAGATCTCCTTAATAGGAAGGTTGTCGCTATGATCCATAAATATATCGGCAAAAGCTTGTTCGAGCATGTGTCGACCTACACTAACGCTTATGATCTAAGGACAAAGCTGGAGTCCTTAATCCAGAAGAAGACACCATGCAACAAAGAATACTTGGTTCGTCGACTTGTGAAGCTAGACTACAAGAACATGCAAAGCATGATTGAGCACTTGAACACATATACGGGGATCGTTAATCAGTCGACAAAGATTGACATGAAGATTGATGACGAGTTGTAAGCCTTCTTGCTACTCAGCTCATTGCCTGAGAGCTGGGATACTTTGGTGGTGACGCTTAGCAACTCGACCCCAGAAGGAAAGATGACACTAGACTCGGTTGCAGATAGCCTGCTAGTGAAGAGGCTAGGGGAAAAGAACAAGGTATAACCTAGCAGTATGAAAGCAAATGTTATTAAAATTAGTGGAAGAATGACATGCCGAGGTTAAAGTAGAAGCTGAGATTATGACAAGTCTAGAGGTCGGTCAAAGCCGAGGACAAATACTCTAACATGCTTTTACTATGGAAAACTAGGTCATTGGAAGTCGGAATACCGAACTTTGAAGAAGGATCAAAGGACGGGCAATGTTAAGTCGAATGTGATAGATTATCCGAAGAAGAGAGAATAACAGAGCACCACAGCTGTAGCAAACAAGGTTGTAGCCTATGTTGACTGTTTATGGGTTATGGACTCAGGAGCATCCTTCCACTTCACACCCCACAAGGAGTTCTTCGTATCATATCAAGGAAACGAATTTGGTATCGTGAAAATGGGTAACCAAGTTACCAACAAGATGGTGAGAGTTGGAGAAGTCACGATGATGACCGACATCTTCTGAAGGAGGTCAGACATTTTCCTGACATGAGGCTCAACCTCATCTCGGAAGGAAAGCTCGATGAAGCTGGGTTGGTAAACTACTTGGTGGAGGAAGATGAAAACTCGCCTAAGGTAGCTTGGTGGTAGCCCAAGATAAAAAAGAAGGATCTCTCTATGTTATGCAAGAGAAGGTCGATAATGGAGAGACCAATGTGGTGCAAGATGAATCAAGTTTGGAGCACTAGCACAGACGACTCGAACACATGAGTGAGAAAGGTCTACAAATCCTAACTAAGAAGAAACTGTTGCCGAACTTGAAAGGTCAACTTCTAGAGACATGCACACATTTTTTAGCCGGCAAGCAATGCCGAGTTTCATTCAAGAGACCGGACCATCCTAAAAGAAGGAAGTATGCTCTTGATCTTGTTCATACTAATGTGTGTTTTTTGTCAGAAAAATCTCTAGTGGTGCGTATTACTTTGTCAAATTCATCGATGATCACACCAGAAGAGTGCGGGTGACCTTGCTAAATTCGAAAGACCAAGTACTCCAAGCATTCAAGGAGTTCCATGCAAGGGTTGAAAGGGAGACTGATAGAAAGTTGAAGATCGTCCGAGTTGACAAAAGTGGAGAATACTGAGGTCTATTTGAGATGTACTGTAAGGCGATAGGTATAAAGCTGGAGAAGACACATCAACTGAATGGTGTAACAGAAAGAATAAACCGTACAATTGAAGAATGAGTCCGAAGTATGTTGTCACATGCCAAGCTTCCCAAGATATTCTAGGGAAAAGCGTCAAGACTGCAGTCGACCTAATCAATCTATCACCCTTAAGTCCTTTGGAAGGAGACATCCTAGAAGAAGTCTGGATGGGTAGGAAGGCAAAGTATGAGCATATGAAGATATTCAGATGTTAGTCATTTGTGCATATTCCCAAGGATGAACGAGCAACGCTTGATGACAAGACCAAGGAGTGTGTTTATCTCGGCCCACCAAAGGACGAGTTTGGCTATCGTCTTTAAGACCCGTCAATAGGAAGGTTATGAAGAGTCAAGATGTAGTGTTCTTGGAGAGTCAAACTATAGAGGACATACAGAAGCCCTCTGAATTGTTGTTTGTCATGAAGACCCAGTCTCCCCTGTCTGAGCTGAAGCAGGGGGAGAATCCAATGAGCAGAACACTGAAGAGAGCGAACAACAAGAAGAGCCACCAACTGAAAGTGAGACAGATTCAGAACATCCGAAAGTTCGAGGTTAAATAGAAGAACCAGATTTTGAGGAGCAACCACGAACTCAGTAATCTGTTGGAATTATATGCCCTTCCACTAGATATCATGCAGACAAGTACACAATCATTGCAGAAGGAGAGCCTCGGAGTTTTGAAGAGGCAGTGACTAGTGCTGAAAAGGAAAAGTGGGAGAAAGCCATACAAGACAAGATGAAATCCTTGTATGAGAATCAAACCATTGATATGTTCGAGCTACTATAAGGCATACAGGCTTTGAAGAACAAATGGGTATACAAACTCAAGGTGGAGGAGAACAACCCAAAGCTGAGGTATAAAGCTAGGATTATGGTGAAAGGTTGCAATAAGAAGAAATGCATAGATTTTTTGGAGATAGTCTCATCAATGGTGAAGATAACATGAATCAGAACTATTCTAGGCATAACAGCCTCTCAAGACTTGGAGGTTGAACAACTGGACATGAATACGACCTTTCTTCATTGAGACTTGGAAGAAGAAATTTA